ACAGCGGCCCCACCAGAGCGACCAAAACCACAACCAAAGCGGCTTGCACGAAACAGTGAGCTATTTTAATAATTTCAATACCCCCATTTCACAACACACCTTTAACCAACGCTGCTCAGAATATACCGTTCATACTAAGATCGATTCCGGGAGTTATATTCACCCGAATTCAATTTCGTATAGTCGCACAGATTCCTTAACGACTTATATAACTACTCATGTAATCAAAATCATAAATAAGTCACTCGATTGCTACCAGATTTCCCTATACCTAAATGACTCCGATTTCATCCAAATCTGGACTAGGTTGGAAAATTCCAAGTTACTACGAAAAAGTTTTTTAGCCCCAATTCTTTTCCCATTGGCTTTTCTATAATGACGGGAACATGTCATTACAGTATGGTGGTGAGAGAATAAATTAGATAAGCAACATAGGAAAATTTCTTGAAACCATATCCAAAAATGACTTCTCATGTAAAAGGTGTCACAAAATCAATAATGATAGATCAAATACGTAAAGTATTATGCAAGTACAAAATAGATCATTTCACATGCACTCAAAAAGATTTGTAGTTGTGGCAATACTGAAACTTTTGGATATAATAAGAAAAGTTAGAGATGAACTTCAATAGATTTAAATTTTAACAAAAAATATAAAACACAATAGAATCATATTTCACTAAATTGTCTTAGATGTATATGTACTTTTAAAAAATTATGAATTTATAATATTAATGAGATCATATATTTAAATACAAGTCTTTTGAATATATTATTTTATTATCTTATCGAAATGGTCCCATCAACTTAAGTCGAAATCAAAAAAAAAAAATCATCTTAAAAAGATAATTAATTTACCAAATATTAATTTAATATGGTTAATGTACTTACATGTCAATCCTTCATCTCTAGCGCATGGGAGGAGGGGAATTTTGTGAAAGTTTATGAACATTTTTTTATGTTAGAACATGATAATATATGGAACACTAGAAATTCATTAAATTGATGATCATATCAATAGATATTTACAAGCTATTCTATTGACCCCCAAAAAATAAAAAAATCACTATATATTTATATTATTTTATTCTCTTTAATCCTTTTCAAATCGAAAAAATCAACAAAACATTAATGTCTTCTTACATTTTATCCTTTTGTACTCTTTTCAATAAATCTTTCATAAGTTAGTGTAATACTCTATCAAAAATAAAAATTAATAATCAAAAAGTGTTGAACAAAATTAATTGCAAATTCTTATTTTAATTTTTATTTCTTCTTAGATTTTCAAGTATTACAACAAGTATATTAAAGCAAGTTTAACAAGTTATCAACTTTTTGAATTAAATTTTATGGTTCTAACTCGTATTTTTATCTAAAATTTGTCAACTTATTACTTATATATGTGAACAATTAATATAATGATTGTCTCAAAGAAAGGATGTTTTTCAACATTGAATTTGATAAAATCTTACCTAAAACTAATAATTGAAAAAAAAATTCAAAAATATCATTTATGAAATAATATATTTAATAATAATTTACATCTAAATTTTTTAAAAATAAATACATAGAAAATTTATTTAAATTTTAGGCCTCTAATTAAAATTTTACTTTAGCCTCCAATTATGTTGAAGACGTTGCATAAGTGATAACGGTGGTTGGCTTGGTCGTGATCAGCTAAAAAGTAATTAAATTTAAATGTTTTAATTTCGATTTATATGTTGAGCAACTATCATGGTTTGATATTGTTCAAATAATAATTTTTCTGTAAACAATCAAATTAATACTAGCAGACTGCTATGATTCTTTTGTGTGTAAATGAAGAATCGAAGTAATGTTAATGTTTTTATTTTATATGTAAGAAATAGGTTCGAGAAAATTTAATATGAAAGTTGTCTTTATGCGACATGATTAATTAATGAACCAATTAGGGGTCGATGATTGGAGGTGAGTAATGCATGTATTAAATCTTGTATAAGTAAGATTATATTTGGTAATTAATTATTCCCTCTGTCCATTTTTAATTGTCATGTTGCATTTTTCGAAAGTCAATTTGACTAATTTTCAAAGTTAAATTAGATTACATTAATTCGATATTTTAAACAAAAAATTTAGATATTCAAAAATTATACGAAAAGTACTATAAATTGCAATTTTTTGCATATCAATATGATGAAAAAATATATCATAAAATGTTAGTCAAAGTTCTTATAGTTTGACTTTAAAAAAGAAGACCATGACAATTAAAAGAGGGTGGAGATAGTAGGAGATACGTTATTTATATACAAAATTAGTACTCAATGTTTGAAATTTAAAAACCCGCATAACTAATACATGTAAAAATTATGGGAGAATCTATGTATAATTTTATACAGAATAGAAGGTGGAATAGATAATACATATATCACTTATACATAACTAACTAAATATTTTGCTCGTTTGGTGTGAGGGATAAGCATAAATAGTCTTGGGATAAAATTTAGATGTCTTGTTTGGTTGACATGTTTGGGATAACTTATCCCACCATTTATAGCATAGTGATGGGATAAGTAATCTCATATACATGGTGGGATAAGTTATCCCAGGATAACTAACCCCAAGATAGTTAATCCTGGGATAACTAGTTCCCAACCAAACGAATACATAAATTCTCTTATAAATAATCATTACGTTATGAGAGAAGTATTAAAAGCACTCCTAAACTCGGCGCGGATTATTAGTTTCATCCCTGAATTATTGGCAGATTTAAAAACACCTCTTTACTTGACGAACTGGATTTAAATACACTCCCGATTTTTCAACATGAGTGATATACACTCCTAAATTCTCTCCAAGTTCAGAGGTGCTTTCAGCCCTTCTCTCGAATTTTTATTAATAGTCTCATGCTCCTACAAGAGTTTGAAGTCACTTGTTATGTCATGTTGCATATCAGGAGTCTATATCTAAGCTTAATTAGTCAAGCAGATGGGTATTTTTGAGACCGTCAATAATTCAGAAATGAAACTAATAATTTACGCAAAGTGCAAAAGTATTTTCAATGCTTCTCTCTTACGTTATTAATCCATACATAACTCTAACGAGGTACCAAACAATTCCTAAATATTTATGGTACCGTACGAGGGTGGATAAAGTTGGCTTCAAATCCACATTTACAAGTTGTTTTTAGTCACGTAAAGTTGTTTACTTTAAAAGATTGGTCATATAGGAGCTAGATTCACCTCATCAGGCAAAATATTTAGGCACGGATGTTGCATGAACTATATTACTACTTATACTTTGTAATTAATGGCTTATATCTACAAAGTTTTACCTCTTTATTTTGTCTTTTAATTTGGGGTAGGGCAGAGGCTAACCCATACCTCGCACTAAATTTTGACAATAAATTTAAACGCAACACAAACTATATACACATTTTTAAATTACTCAACTATATACATAAGTGGAATCATACACTTGGGGCGGAGCTAGATGCTGACCGTACAGATTTAGTCTTAATTCACTTTCTTGAATTTAACTTTGTATCTGGATTAAAAAATTCACTAAAATATGTAACAAAATTAAATTTAGAATTCAGTTACTATAACTCATAATGTCGTTATCTTAGAATTTAGAAACCATAAAGTTTAAATTCTAGCTCAGCCAACACATATGGTGGGATGAGATGAATGAAATCTCTCAATCCTTAAACTGAGATCTCATGTTTGAATCTTGACAACTGAGAGCATTTCTCGTTAATTGATTTAGTATGCAACACAAATTTAAATTAGTCAAGCTAGTTAATTCTGATACCAAATAGTTAAACAAAAAAAAAAACACAATCATAAACTTACTGTGGTGTTGGATGGCTTTAAAAGGTGTCCACGGCAAATTATGGCACGGATTTATTGTGTTTAAAGTCTGGCTATTCAGTTTTGTAGCCATCGAATCCCTTTGGACTTGTAGTAACTCTATATATTAACTATATTCACATGTAGCTTTTCAACGTCCCAAAGAAAATTGTGGTGCACCCTTAATCAGCAAGCTTTGAGTATGAAAACAAATTATGTTGGAAGTGTCACCCAAAATAAGTTATGCAATATGTAATTTGAATTTAATCGATCTACGATTAGGCTTACCTGGTGTAACCTACAATAAAACCTGACAGCCGGACTCAAGTACCAAGAGCCCCGGGTATTTAGGAATGAGACTCCTTCATCTAATTTTTTTAAAAAAAATGGTTCTCAAAATTTCATCAGGAAATTACGTAGAAAGTATAATAAATTACAATAATTAACAATTTAAAATATCTAAAAGACATTAAAAAAATTGATCAACTTTGAAATTTTATCCATGTCATATATATTGGACTGAGATAATAATATATATACTATTTGAAATTTACATCAAAAGAAATACTACAAATTACAATAATTAACAATTTTAAAATATCTAAAAATCCTCTATTGAATTTTGTGATGAATCTCCAAATTATATTTGCATCACATAAATTATAAGACAAAAAAAACATATATTTGGTTCGTGTATAAATATAACCAAGTTGATAGATGAATGAAACGATGTCGAAAGGTTGCATGTATACACAGAGGCGGATTCACACCTATAAGTGAGGGTGCACGTGCACCTGTCAACTTCGAAAAAAAACATGTATATTTGTATATCTATCTTGAAAAACTGACATCAACTAGGATATAATTAACAATGCACTTGTGAGAAGCATATGAGTATCCTTGTGTTGTTGATACAAGCTGATGAATCACTCATGAGATCAGGGTTCAAACCCAGCTAAACTCCCTTGTCATTGTTTTTATTTCAAGTTTAGCTTAGAGCCAAAATCCCTTTTCATTGTTTTTATTTTAAATTTAGCTTAGAGGTCATATTTGACCTAAGATAATACTGATTTAGCTTAAAACTCATAGTTAGGCTAAAATAATATTAGTGCACCAAAATCTTTACATAATGGGTTTGCCAATATGTATACATGGAAGAGTGTCTATAAATAGGCTTAATCTTATTGTTCTTTACCTCTTCTTTCTCCCTTTTTGCCTGCCATAGCTAAAATCACTTCCTTCAATTTTCTTTGTGAGTATTTCTTTTAACACTATCAGTATTTGTTGTATATCGATTTCTTGTTGCAAAGTTTAGATTTTTATTTGGGACCTTACTTGTAATTCCAGTGTGTACTATCTTTAAACATGATTTTCAAGAAAAATAATATGGTGGTTGAAAGTTTTTCTTGTGGGGTTTTCAGTTGAGAAGCCAGAAATTTCGTTAAGAGTGTTGATTTAGTATATACCTGTGAAAAATATGCACTTTGTCTAATTTTTATATAAATAGTGTAATTTTTCGATGAAGGACCTTTCACTACATGTGGTTACGCCATTGGGGTTTAAGGCTTGAAGAGAACAGGAGAGATTATGAAACTACTCTGCTTCTTGGAATTAGGAAATTCATGATTATACTAGTTTTAATTGTGGTATAATTGCAATGAGGTTTTCCTTATTTATGATTCCGCAAATTTTTTAGCATAAATATTTTAGGCTGTATTAATTTCTTAGATGACTTTGAAGGTTTTGTTTGCAGAAAACTGATAAGTTGGGAACTTTTGAATCTTGAGTAGTTCAATTTGCAGAAAACTGATAAGTGATTTGAGGTTTAGCAATGGAGTTGTACTATAGGAGTGTGTATTTAATCAAGATTTAAAAGTCATTAGGAGAAGTGTAGCACATATATTACGCCCAATTCTCTTTTTATGATACTAGATGCAGACTTAAGATACCTATGTACGTACAATTTTTTTCTTTTTTCCAATGTTGTGTACAGTAGTTTGAACCGAAGGCAATGAGTGAGACACCAGTACCAGGAAAGGTGGATCTGTGATTTGCTCGATCAAGCTCACGTCTTTTTTTTCTCAAATTTTGGTCCTATTATGGAAAGAGACGTTGTGTGATTAGTTATTGAGAGAAATAGTTTTTGAGAAAGTAAGGAGTGGATGTTTGGGTTATATTGTGCGGATTAGGTTATAACCCGTTATATTACACATTTTGACCGAAGCAAATTTTGGGCGGGTTGGGTTGTGACCTGTTTATAGTCTTGACCTGCCCATTTTCCACCTCCTAGTCCTATTGTGGAAATAGACATTGTGTGATTGTTTTCTCTGATGAATCTTCCAAACGTTTATGCTTTTTCTGTTTACTTTTACAGAACTAAGTATGCCTACTGCAAATCCTGATGCAACTGATCAAGAAAATGAATTATTTGCTGAGGTTGATCCATCTGGGAGGTTTGGACGATACGAGGAGCTGCTTGGCCATGGTGCAGTGAAGATGGTGTATAGGGCATTTGATCTTGAGGAAGGCAGAGAAGTAGCGTGGAATCAGATTAGATTGAACAAATTCAGTGGCAGTCCTTTCATCATCAGTAAGATCCATTCTGAAATTGAGTTGCTGAAGAATTTGAAGAATGACAACATCATTGTCATGTACCATTTCTGGAAAGACACTGACCATAACATTCTGAATTTCATAACCGAGGCATGTGCCTCTGGTAATTTGAGGGAATACAGGAAAAAGCATCGTCATGTTTCAATCAAGGCCTTAAAGAAGTGGTCAAGACAGATATTACAGGGCTTGGATTTTCTCCATACTCACGATCCTTGTGTTATTCATAGAGACCTCAATTGCAGTAACATCTTTATCAATGGAAATGTTGGAAAGGTATGAACTCAGTCGATACTGGCTTACTATTTCTCTACTATAAACATAAATTTATGTCAAAAATCCTACGTAATGCTGCACATTACAAATGAACCTGTCCCTTCTTCTTTCTTATGATTCTAAAGGTGCAAAATTCGTGTCATTTACTTTGTCGGCATATTCAGGGAAATGATAGGTTTTATCTCCGTTACATATCCTTTACTCTTTGGTGCTTAAATCCTATGTTTAGCTGAGTGGGTTGGTGGGTTGTTAATCGGGGTAAACATAAACTATGTCATAGTGGAGAAGCTGGTGAAGTTAGAAACCATATTCACTAACATAAAATCTGTGGGTAATTCATCTCACTTTGTGTATAATCAAGAGTCTACGACCTTGTTAGGAGTAAAAAGAAATGAAAACTTAGGCACTAAAGTACATTCAGAAGTGTTCGTTTATTTATAAAAGAGCTTCTAAGGTAGTTTCTAGTGAGCTTCAGATGTTCATCTAAAAAATTACAATACTTTTGGATTGGTCGACCTTAAACATCCTGGTTATCATGTTACACAGGTAAAGATCGGTGATCTTGGTTTGGCAACAATCGTGGGGAAGAGCCATGCAGCACATTCTGTACTAGGGACGCCAGAGTATATGGCACCAGAGCTTTATGAAGAGAACTACACAGAGTTGGTAGATGTATACTCGTTTGGGATGTGTTTGATTGAAATGGCTACTCTGGAGATACCTTACAGTGAATGTGACAGTTTAGCCAAACTATACAAGATAGTAACTTCTGGGAAAAAGCCTCAAGCTTTTAACAGGGTGAGCGATCCCGAGTTAAAGGCCTTCATTGAAAGATGCGTTGGGCGGCCAAGAGCAAGACCCTCTGCAGCTGAATTGTTGAAGGATCCTTTCCTTTCTGATTATGATGAGAATGATCTTGATAGTTGATGCATTATGTTCAAATTCTGCTATTCTATCATAGTTGCAAGGGTTCTTGACCGCTGTTTACGGTTGGTTTCATCATGGGGCAGTTCATTTCAAGCTAGCAGAGCTCAACGCTGTCTTAGTCTGTTGAGTACTGTTCTTTGTAGCTCGAGATAACCTGCCTTCGTCTAACTCGACAAGTGTGACAGAGTGTAATATAGTAATCCAATTGAGGTGTAAAGTCTGAACTTTATCAAGTTGAATATGTTTGATATGAGATTTAAGTTTCTAGATTCTTGTATTACATATTTTTGTAAAATTTACTTCATTGATAATAAGTAAGTTTAACAAAAACAGACTAAGAAGATGTTATTCCCTGTTGTTCTATTTGTAGCATAATGCATTACATTTTTTAAATTCAAATTGACAAATTACATTGGGCTTAATCAAATGGCATTATATAAATTGAGACGGAAGGAGTATTAATTTTAATTGAGTTTAAATAATATATATTTTAGTCTAAGTAATTTTTACACCATAACATGTGTTATATATCTTGATTTCAAGCACTCTTTGCTTGCTTGATGACTTGAACTCACAAATTTAAAATTGAAAAGAATGTTTACCATGCGAGCAACTCCCTTTTGTCTGTAAAACCTATTAAATTTGTCGTAGTGTAGGTTACCTCTCCTATGTGGTTTGCGAGCTATTGCATAGGAGCAGGGGTTTTCTCCTGTGCGCACCTGCGAATTTCCATTGTCCTAAAAATAAAGTCTTAAAAGTACCAATGGGGAAAACTGTAACTATATTTCATTTCAAGGGGGAAACAAAACATTAAATCAAGCCTCTGAATTCTATACTACTATCCCTCTCAATTAACATAACTCACTTTTTTTTTATTCGGTGCTGATACATTTTTATATTTATGAATTATGATTATCTCTGACTCACTGTATATGATTTATTTTTATTTTTAGTCAATAATAGTAACATATTTTTATAGATAGTAACAATTTAATTTTAAAATATTTATTTTAGATCATAAATTTTAAAAGTTTCTCTTTTTTTCTTAAATCTCGTGTTAAATCAAACTAACTGATATAAATTGGGAGAGAGAAAGTAACAAATTAACTTTAAAATGTTTATGTTGGCTTTAATGAAATAACTTATAATCAAATAAATATGTATGATTTATTTTAAACCATAATTTATTTATTTTTTAAAAATAAACTTTGTGTAAACTCAAATTATATTATATAAATATAAATTAGAAACGAGGAAGTAGCAATTGAGAGAAAAATATAATATTGTTATACAGTGGTTTGTGCTATTGCCCCCACCAAATCTCTTTCCTGACATATCAAATAATTCACAGTAAAACAACTGCAACCAACCACAAAAAAAAAAAAAAAAAAAAAAGAAGAAGAGGGAAATGCTATCGATTTCATTCGCAAAATCCATAGGAAGAGGAAGTAGCAGTAGGAGCAGAAGAGATGAAGTATACGTAGCAGCTGTGCCTTTGAGAGCCACAAAAGGACCTGCCCAGTTGCTCATGTCTACTGCTTACTCTCTCAATTTCTGGGATTTGCAGCATTTCATGGTCATTATCAGCCCCTCCTCCTCCCTCCACTCTCAGGTTTTAGTTCTCTTCCTTTTGTTTTCCTCGTGCATTTTGTCCTTCTCAATTAGGGATTTCAAATGGGCGATTTTGATGGTCAAAAGAGGCTGGTATTAGGCGGATTGGGTAGATATAATGTTTTTATGACCTAATTTTGCCACACCTGCTCAAAACATATAGTATTATTTTCTAATGGAGTTTTTGATTGGCGGTATACAGTAAAAGGTTAATTACTCTCTCCGTCCCAATTTTATAATTGATGTAGTTTGATTGGGCACTAAGTTGATTGAAAGCTTTTGAAATATTGTGGTCTTAAGTAAGTGTGTGACTATAAATCATCTTTAATCAGATGAGTAAACAAATAGAACATGGAATGAAAATGTGTGTATTAGCAATGAGGGATTAAACTATTTAAAGAAAAAAAAGAATCTTTTATAAAAATAAGTAATTCATGTATAATAATTAATAATCTCATTCATTGTTAATTACCTTGTTGGATCCACTCTAGAGACTTTGAGATTTCAAATGACTAAACCGGAAAAGGCAAAAAAGAAAAAAGACTTAACAGGGTTAATAATCTGTGTGTATAGGCTTTAGTATATGATTTCCAACCTCAAGATCCGGAAAGCATAGCTGTAGCTGTTGCAGCTCTATCTGGCAGAAATGTACCAGGTCAGACCCTTTTAGTTCCTCTTAAAGTTTGAAAGTCATTGCTACTCAAGTCATTTTTGACTAAATCCATCAGAATTTGGCTCATTGGTAACATTTTCCAAAGATTTTCAGTTGGAAATTTCTTACCGATGAGGCAATTCTGATAGGGAGATTCATCAGAAATTTGTGAGTTTCTAATAGTAGTGAGACTAGAAGAAAGGTAAATTGGATAAAATAAATATTTATATATATGATTAATTCCTAACCTTGTGCAAAAATTGTATAATTATTCTAAGAAATATACTAACAAAGAAAGGAGATGGCAAATGAGTAATGCTATGATGCATCAGTGAGTCATTGTTTTGTCAAACTCACAGGAAAAGCACAATACTTATCTGTGAACTTGAACTATCTTATATCTTCTATATAGACCATCCCCAAGTCCTAGACTCTTACTCAAACTATATACTTCACCCTGTCTACCAACTTGAACTGTTCTCCAAATCTATACAGGAGAAATGGATAGATTACTGTTTTATCTTAACTTTGCAGCTTATCCTAGTTCGTACCTTAAATTCATTTAGACGTTGAATCTGTGAGACTTAGTCAATTTCTGAATCAGCAATATATCCAAACTCGTGTCTCTCTTTTATATTGAAAATCATAGGTGTCAATTTCTAGTCGTACTTCTTCATAATAAGTATGACCTTTGTTCATAATTTCCTTTGGTTTCAGCTGACGCCTGTTATGGTCATCATTCAATAAGAAATGAGCACTTCAACTTTGATGATCAAAGTTGTATGGAAGTAAAAAAAAAAAAACTTTTCCCGTCTCTTAACCATTATAAGTTCATATCGAAAGTCGTCTCCTAAGCAAATCATGTCTTCAAACTAGTTTATTCCATGACAGGAGTTGTTCTTACAAGGACACTGAAGAAGCTGCCTAAAAGGAAGTGTTGGTTTGTTGGCTACTCAGACACTGATGCAATGGATGCGGCAAACAGATTCAACAAAGGATGGGATACTGACTTGAGGATTAACCTTCACGACTGTCGAAACTATGTAAATGGTAATTCTCTTCTAACTTTAATTAGTAAAGCAATGCAAACTGAGTAATATGTTCCTTTGGTTGTCACCTAATCGGAAAGAAATACCATTACCTTTAGCCCAGATACATGTAAATTTCTTAATTGTTTAGGTCTTTAGGGTAATTATCTACTGTGCATGTCATTTAGTTAAATAGCAAATAGTTGAGCATGGTCTAGTTTCCCTTATTAGTGTTATTATTAGTACTCTCCTACTATCTTATTCTTCAATTTTACTTCTAGTTGTTTTCTTCGTTTTGGTTATAGTATTGTTTGTTGCTGCTATATATTGTTCCTTTCTCCATTGTTTCTATACGGTTCCTTCGCTATTGTATTTCCTTTTCTTACTGATTTTGATATGCTTTACCTGAGCCGAGGGTCTATTGGAAACAACCTATCTACCTTCACAAGGTAGGTCTAAGGCTGCGTACACACAACCCTTCCCAAACCCCACTTGTGCAATTACACGGGGTATATTGTTGTCATTGAGTAAAAACATATTTTTTCATGCTTTATTTTTTGCTAACCAACTACTTCAAAGGGCTAGTGGAGTATCTCACTGGAATGAAAGCAGTACTGGAGCAACTACAAAGCAGCAGCATGGCAAGAGATGAGATGTCATTACCCAGAAAGGACTAAAAGCATAATACTACTTTGTGTCAAAGATGTATAGATAAGTCATCAAGTAAACCTTTTGGCTTTTGACATTTTATCTGTTAATAGAAGTTCTGCAAATATATTCTCACAGGCTTTACTTACTATGATCCGTAAATCACTTGTATTCTTTCTTGTGCATTTTATTGAATAAACTCTAGTCCTCAGAGTAACATGATAGTAATTCTTCTATTTGTTCTATATGGACTATTTTAACACAAGCAAAGTGTTCAATTTGTTCTATAATGTTCTCTAAAATTCGAGCTCTGGTGTATAAATATCTAAATTCTTAGCAGCAAAAATTGTGAGGGAGTTGTTGACACACACAATGACAGAGTTGCTTAATTGGTGACATGTAGGTCACATCTTACATGTTTGAAACATGACAACAGCTTTAAAGAAATTCAAGGGGAAAGACTTGTCCACTTTATAAACCACTCTTCCCCTATATGCCCACTGTTTGACACCTTTCGTGTACAGGGTGGTAAGCCATTTTTAACAGAAAATGTTGTCCAGCTTGACTCATTGAGAATACTTGGTTCATGAAGAAAAAATACTTACTTCTTAGGGGGGGAAAACTGTGATGTGAATATACTTCGCAGGGAAGAAGCATGGCAATTAGACAGATTATGTGAATAGGTGATTACGGCCAACAGTTCCTGTAATTTTTTTCGCTTCTGCCAATGAGGCTAATTACCTTAATCACGTAACAGGATCCAGGCATATCGATCCTTGCTAGTTTTCCCTCTTGTGAAATTTCATATATAGATTGATGTTCTTCACAATTTTTATGTTTGAATCAGATAGTGAAACACAATCAGCTTGATGCTTTTTGTGAGCTTTGCTTATTCAGCCGTTTCAGTAGACCTTTTCAAAAGAGCAAAATAGACAGAAGAAATGTATTTGATGAAAACTTGAGGTTCCTTTTTTGACAACTTTTTCTCTATATTTGTTCATTTACTTCTTTCATAAAAAAAATTACGCGCCACCCCCTCGTAGGAAGCTCAAAATTGTCTCTATTTCTACACGACTGGAACTCCAATCTACTGTGAGTACTGTCTACTGCTAGGCAAACTTCATTCATCAAATGAAAACTGTACCACTGCTCAGTGAGGGTTTCTATAATTATTACTATATGATTGTCACAGTTTTTCTCTACTAATTTTATGAAAATACAATTACAGAGACCTCTTTCAGATTGAAAATAATGCTGAACAACAAAGCTCACAAACACCCTTCTAGTTTGGTTGCCAAAAGCAACAGGCAGGAG